TTCTAGGTCTTTCAATGAATTACAGTTGACCTTTGAGCAATGTGTGTTTGAACTGTGTGGGTCCACTTACATGTGGGTGTTTTTTTGTCATTATTATAAATTATTTTCTCTTCCTTATAATTTCCTTTTTTTAATTGCTAAAGGACACATATGCTCACCAGAGAGAGACAGAGAAAAAGAGAGAGGGAGAAGAAGAAAGCATCCCCCCTATGGGATGTGGTGATTTCATGAACCTTTCTCCATTTCTCCATCCTGTTGGGATTTTGGGTACACACAGTTGGTGGGTTTTTCAAGCCACTGAGGTTGGGATTCAAGCTATAGTCAACCACGTGGGGACTGGCTCCCTTAATTCCAGTTCTATGGGGTTGGCCCAATATGATTTTCTAAACAACATTGTTTCACTCTAGTTTGCTTTATTGAAAGAATACAGTATATAATACTAACAACATACAAAATATGTATTAATTGACTCTAAGGTCAGAATAAGCTCCTGGTCAATGGTGAGCTGCTAGTGGTTAGTCTGGGGAGTCAAACAGTGCACGGGAAGGCCCAGCTGCTGTGGGGCAGTGGTAGTGCAGTGACATGTAAGACTGGAAACCATGTGGGTTTTGAATCCCTGGGTTAGCCTGAAAACTAGGGAAGAGGATGCCCAGGATCCTGATGGAGAAAGAGGATCATGGCATGACGAGATCCTGTCAAGGGTGCTTCTCTCTGTCTCTCTCTCTGTTTCTGTCTTTCTCATGTGCATGCTCATATGCTCGCTATCATTAAGTAAGTTATACTTATCTTTTCAACTGTGTGGGGTCAGTGGTTCCCACTCCCGCTTTGTTTAAGCGTCAATGCTGCTCAGATCATCCCTGGCTGCTCTGTACCCATAAAAACTCTAGTATTTAATTCCCACATAACTGCTTCCTTAAGGCATTTGGGTATGTTGCCTCTTTACTGAGGATTTGTGGGAGAGAGGAATTTACAGTACAGATAGAAAGAATTAAAAAATTGAGTATTAGATGTAGTTCTTCTTTGAAAGTCCCTGGCATTGACACTACTTAGCTGGAGCCTCCCATGTGTCAGCTGGTGTTTTGTTTCTCTTTTTATTTCTTTTCTTCTTCCTTTTGTAGAACTTTTATTTACTCAATTCCCTCCCTCTCTGGGTATAAAATCAACCTTTTTTTTTCCATTTTAATTTATTTGTATATTTTATTAAAATGTATTTTATTTAATTTTTAAAGTATATTTAATTTCTTTCATGAGAGACAGCATAGGAAAGAGAGAGACAGACAAACGGAGAGGAAGAGAGACAGGGTCTTGTCATTCGGTGAGCCCCAGTCTTTGTCTGGTCAGGTCAGCTTGGGATCTGAACCCATAGGTGGCCATGTGGCTTGGGTACTGTAGATCAGTAAGCTATTGCCTGCCCTGCTGAGGCTGGGCCTAAATTTTATTTTATTTTTTTTGCTATAGGGCACATGCGCTCACCAGACAGACAGAGAAAGACAGAGAGACAGAAAGTGAGAAATCACCCCCCAGGGGGGGATGGCCATGCCGCAATCCCTTCTCCTCCATTCTCCTCTCGGGATCTTGGGCATGCACGCACACGCGCCTGGCGTGAGTTTAAGTCACCGGGTCCAGGATGTGAACCGCGGTCGACTACGTGGGAATCCAGTGACACAGCCATTACGCTAACTGCTGGTCTCAAATTTTATTTTTTTTTTAATGTTGAATAATTAAGATTTTACCAGCTCCAATGGTTAAAAGAAGTTCATTATTTCCCATCACGTGCTCGAGTGGAGACAACGAACTTCATTTCAGTAGTGATCCTTGTAAGGTTCCTTCTGCTTAAATTCTCGGACAATTGCTGTCTTCTTCCCTTTCTGTCTGAAGGTGAGGATGGAGGCACGGAAGGTGGAGCGTACTCTGGGTACCATACGTTAGGGAAAGGGCAAAACCATCTGCTTTGAGCCTGGCAGGGTATGAATCCTGGCCTCTCTATTTCCTGGCTATATGAACTATGGCAAGTTACTGAACTTTCCTGAGCCTGTCTCCTCTCCAGGGGAATGATACTATTTTCTTGCAAGTTACAGATAGAAAGGATAAAATGCACCAATACACACGTAGAAAAGATAAAACAGAGTAACGTTACCAATACACCAGTCTAAATGGAAGCCCTGAACAAATGTTAGTTTCCTTTTCCTTTCAACTGATAGACACTTTCCTTGAGGGTTACATATGTAAACATGAAATATTTATCAATTGCATAATTCAAGAAAAATGAAACTTGAAAAGGAATCTCCTTTCAGATTTTCTTGGGGGGGAACAAATTCTCATCCCCCCTTTTTCCTTTGTGCACATCTGTATTGTTCTTGTGCTGCCTGGGGTCTGCTTAGGAGGCTTATGTGCAACTCTCAGCACTGTGAGCCTTGAGTGAAAAACTAAACGCTCTTTGCTGCTTCACAGAAGTTGTAAATATTAGGCATTGATGGTGGGATTTAAGGAACCTAAGTGACTGAGGCCTAGAAATGTCCCCAGAGTGTTCATTCCAAGTGGGACTATCACAGCTGAATGGATAATGCGGATCCAAACACTGGCTACGGCTTTGTGGTTTGGTCTGATGGCACTTACACAGTGCAGTGAAAACGGATATTTTGCCAGCAGAAGGGACTCACCATTTCTCTCTCTTTTGAAGCGGAGCAGAACACAGCCCTGACTGAACAAGTGATTGTTGTTAGTTTGGGCTGATTTAAACCACTGGCGAAGATTGTGTACATCCTATGCAGCTGGATTTTAAGTTCTGGGGAGCCGGGGTTTATAGTACAAATGATGAATGGCTCGCTATAGCCTTGCATAATATTTCACATTCTTAGATTCAGGAAAGAATAGACTAAGGATTATAAGGGATTTTGTCCCCCTGTGTTCCAGCCGATTGTCTGCAGGTCTGCCACATCTAGCCTACAGCTTCTTTTTGTACAACTCCTGAGTTAAGAATGGTTTTGGGCTTTTGTATATTTAAAGACTTACAAAATAAAGAAAAAAACATGCACAGAGACCACATGTGCCTCTCCAAGGCCAAAATATTTTACCATGTGGCCCTTTATAAAAAATGTTGCCGACCCCTGGTCTAGAGTTTGAAATATCTCAGATTAATGAAGGCAATGTTTTGTCGATAATGACCAACTTTCTCATTTGGGATCTGATTTGTGACAACCACTATGTGCCTGTTTTTTATAAAGCTTCATGTGCATCACTTAGGATAAATACAATCACATTTCAATCTATGAGTCTCGTGCTCTCAACATGGGGTTAATCATGCTTTGCCCAAAGAACTCCGTATTTGTTCTTCTAGACGTAAGTCATATGCCTGTCGTCTCTCTCAGGAGCTTCCATCTGTCCCCACCTCGCCACAGATTGTCTATGTGAATAGTCTGTGTTTGAGCTGCCAGGAGCACTTCCTACCTTTGCCCTTACCTATGAGGATGGCAGAGGCCAGCTCAGGAAGGGAAACCAAGGGTTTTTAACCTTGTTCTGCTTCTGATCATGCCAAGGAAGAGTCTTTGGCAGTATGTCTAATAGGTTCAG